TTTTGCGAATTTAAATTTTTAAGGTTATTTTATATAATATTATACTAAATAACAATTTATAACTTCCCATACGGTAAGTTATAGTAATCGCAAAAAATCGAAAAAGAATATTTTTATATATTTTCAAAGGTTTCTGAACATTTTGACACACCTTAGGAAAAGTGGATGCATATGTGTGAGCGTATATGCGCGTGTGTGTATGTATGTGCGGATACAATTCATCGTCGACGATTTCGAGAACACGGATCAACTGATTTGAATGATTCAAAATACATTCGATTCCTATTAACAAGGACACGTGGTGATTAGTTTTTGGCAAAGGCAGGTCCTGCCATTCCAAAGATCCGCGGCGAAAAGTGCTAAAAATGGAAATTTATTATAAAGCTTTGAAAAAAAGTTCAAAATTTCCAAAAAATTTCAAAGTGTAAAAAAAATCTAATTTTCCAAAAAAGTCAGTTTATTTTTAGAAAAAATTAAAATTTCCAAAAATCTTTTTGTTACAATTCTGATTTTTTTTTTAATAAATTTTAGTACCACAAGAAGTTAGTCCTAATTTCTCTGAACATGAACTTAATTATTCTGCTATTTCAGCATCGCGTTCTTCTAAATGAGAGTTCTCATCATCTTATAAAAAGCAATTAATAAAGTCGTCACCTAGACGTCAGTGCCAAAAAGTGCAAATTGGTGTTACCCCCGATATTTCTCTCGGAGGCATTAAAATAAGTCATGAATACGTGCCGGAGTGCCGGCTCGGGCGCCGCATGCCACAGGTCCTTGATGTGACAAAACAATTCACGTCACATGGCGGCAGCGTTTTAATAAAGCGCCGCGAAAATTCCACACCAATCAATAAAATACTGTCGCAGTGGTGGTCATAGATAAAATGAAATTTATATGGGCAAGATATGTTGGAGGTAAAACTTTGTATTAATATATAAACGCTTCAGATAATAGTAAAGTGACCACATTTTTATGTCAAAACCGGGATGGTAATTTTTAGTTATGCTAATCCGGGACGGGACGGGGGTGTATGCTAAAAACTTCAATATGATTTTAAATTAACAAATACTATTTAAGAATGCAATATAAATACATCATTTTTAATTGAGTTTTTTTTTTAAATCAGAATTACTGATTAATTTATCAAATATTTTAGGATCTATATGTTTTTTCAGCTTTCTAACATATTTTAAAATTTTGTTTAATTTTCTTCAGAATTGTTTATAGATAATTAGCACTTGTTCAGTTTGTCAATCATATATGTGTGACATAAAAAATAGTATTTTTTCAGGAATTTAGTCAAATTTTTGTTTTCTTTAATTCATTATTATTTATTGAAGCTTTTTTAACGTATTTATGCAATAATATTTCCATGGCCTATGTGAAAATTTTACTGATATTATCGTGACTATTAACGTAATAAATATTAAAATCAAGTTTCAAATTCCAATATTCAAATATTAATTTCTTGCAAAAATATATTATGAAATTAGGTCCTAAAAATTCAATTTAAAATTTTCGTTTCAGGGTGATCAAGTGCATCATGTGAACTAGCATTTGTATGGATACATCAAAGATTTATTAGTGTTTGTTATTTTTGTTTAAGTTTGTCTGTTGAATATTGTGGCTCAGGTGTTTAATAAAAAGTTCTCGAATTAAATCTTTGTTAACTCCACTCGAAATGCTTTTCTAAATAGAAGAGATAAATGAAGTTATTGTCTGTGATCGGCCATGGCAAATGCCTATATTTTCATATATGTGTGATATTTTTGAATTTTGCAACTAAAAGTTTCAATTAAATATAGTCAAAAAAAGCATTATTTTTAAACACTAACTAGAAGATTAAAGACTTATTTTTTTGCTATTTTCAAACATGCATTCCGTGATTGGATTAAGTTATATAATGTATATAGCTTTTATCGTCATTGTTTTATTCAATTTTATAATTATTAAATGAGTATATTAGCCTGGCCAATTTAGACCTAAAATGAGGTTGAAGGTTACAATAATTTATAATGGGCTGTAACTTGGTAAAATTGCTTAAAATACAATTAAAAAAGAAATCTTAAAAATCCTCTTTGTTCCGGTGCAAAAAATTGGCATAAGGTCAAAGTAAAAAAATATCGCAGTTTTCAGCTGAATGGTAAGTTTTATCGAAAAATTATTATCAGACAAATTGTAGAGCATAATATTTTTTTATCAAAGCCACCGTTTTAAAGATATATCACTTCGAAAAGTACGTTTAAACACCTTAGTTTGCTTAGGGCGTTTTTTTGTGGTTTTCCCAATAGGCCTATTTCACGGTTCTATTATGATTTTGTTTGTTTCGAAACCATTGCAAAGTTATCCTAATTCTTCTTCTTTCCCTTCACATGGTCCTTTACATTTTCTGCTTCTTTACCTTCACCTTGTCCTCTGCCTTTACCTTTAACTAGTCCTTCACTTTTACCTTGTCCTTTACCTTTACCTTTACCTGTTTCTTTACTTTTACCTTTATCTGGTCCTCTACCTCCACCATTACCAAGTCTTTCACTTTTTCCTTTAGCTGGTTCTTTAACTTTACCTTTACCTGATACTTTACCTTTACCAAATCTCTGCTTTAGTGTAGACTTTTATATCTTATTGACCAGTTAATGTCTGATTTTAGCTAATAGCATATATAAATTAAACTAATCGATTATTAAAGAAACGTAAGTAAAAACTCTTTTTTTCCAAAGACCCGATCTTGGACGCTGATAGCAGATATAAATTAAACCAATCGATTATTAAATAAACGTAAGTAAAAGCTCTATTTCTTCCCAAAGACCCGATCTTGGACACCTCTGGCCAACGCCATGAAGTTCCGACTACGTGGCCGGCGCTAGCACAGCGCAAGCTCCGTTCCGTGGTGACGCGGCAGCCCGCCTTCCACTCCGGGTCGGCGCGGATCGATAGCCTCTCTCCCGCGGCCATATTGCTCCGGAGCACGCTCCCGCTCGTCCGATCTGCCGTTAGTCGTGTCATCGTCTTTCCAGTGGTGAGTACTTGTACTCTAACACCGTGCCAAAGCCTCAAACACACTCGCCTGCGCTGGGAGTTAGTACACAGTTAGTAAACAATAGATAAAAAGAAACATTTGGCGTCTTTTTAAAGCAATTTTAAAGAGATTCGAGTGATTATTTCAGCATTTGTTGTTTCTATCAACTAGTTGTTGTCGTAAAGAGAGGTTTATATATTATAGTTGTTTAGAAGTAGTTTGTGTTTGTATGTCATTGCGCTGTCGTTAAGTGCGCATGCAATCAGAGTTAATCGATTTGCCGGCTGTAAGTTAACTACGCAGTTGTTTCATTGACAATCGGTAGATGTAATTAAAATTGTTTTTGTTGTGTATGATGAGTAAGTTCAAATTTTGCTTGTAAGCTTTGCACGAATTTACCACTTGATGATTTGTAAAACCTTAGGCACGGTTGAGCTTTTCAACTTCAACCATCTGTTTGACTCTCCAGTATGGCATTACAAATTTTATGACACGTAGCAAGTAGTATAATCGCAAAAGTTTATGTGCTTGAAATTACTTCAGATAAATTACATTATTTAACAATTTCCAACAGTTTTGCTTGTCACTATTAATTTTTATTTTATTATTGTTATAAATATTTGTGTGATTTTCCAAATAATACATGTCGATTTAAAAATAATATATAATAATATGATGATTACAAAACCGTATCTTTAGAAATCTTTTTTCTTTATTTCATTCCCTTTGTTTTAATAATATTTTTTTCATTTTATAAATATGTATGTATTAATATATAAATATGTTTATAATAATTAATGCTTCTCAGTAACTTCTTGCATATGAATTATTTGTATGTACTGAAGATGGGTCAAATCATGATTCGAAACGTATACTATTTTGATAAAGACATTCTTTTTCACACACACACACATACACACATATATATATATATATATATAAATATATTTATATATACATATATATATATATATATATATATATAAATATATTTATATATACATACATATATATATATATATATATATATATATATATAATATATTTATATATACATACATACATATATATATATATATATATATATATATTATATTATTATATAGTTATATTTATATATAACAAATGTATTCTGAGTGGATAATAGATATTAATTTAGAAATATGAACAAACAACACTCTTTTTTGCACTAATTTATTAAATAATAATTTTCACAAACGTTTCGAGACTGGGTTTGTCTCATCATCAGTGTGTTATAATTTAAAATTTAAAATATGGAAACCTAAATTAGCATTATGTGTTATTCATTACAAGTCTGAGTATACCGAGCGACTTGTAATGCATAACACATAATGCTAATTTAGGTTTCCATATTTTAAATTATAACACACTGATGATGAGACAAACCTAGTCTCGAAACGTCTGTGAAAATTATTATTTAATAAATTAGTGCAAAAAAGAGTGTTGTTTGTTCATATTTCCAAATTATATATATATATATATATATATATATATATATATATCCCACGTATCATATTACATTTTGGCATCGATAAATTGCATGCTTTAGTAACCCACGCAATATTAATATTTTATAGCTTTTATCGTCATTAATTCGAGTACTGATAATATAAACGTATTTATTTTACTGTCATATATCATTAATATAGGTTTCATTTTATTACAACAGTCATGACGTCGGTGATTTCAGTTGGTTCCATATGTCGATCAAATAATTCAACTGATATTTATATTAGAGTAAGCTCCATATGTAATTTAAATTTTAATATCAAAAGCTTTTATTTTATGACTGCAATTTTGTATATTTATAACTTAGCCATGTATAAAATGTTTAAACTTCAAAATTAATTTAATTATTTCAATACAAGTAATGGATTTAATTTAATTTCTAGTTTATTGGAAAAACTATCTGATTTAATTTATATATAATATATTTTCAAAATTATTTCCAATTATTTTGCAGGTAATCTCCACTGGCAAGCGATTACACGATGACTTTCGGAATTTCAGTAATTCTGTTAGTGTCTATTTGGACAACAAATACTCATGCATATTTAACATCAGTGCAAGTAAGAATTTTTTTTTTGTTACAACAACAATAATAATATTTTTTATCATTCGTAATATCACCATTATTATATTCTTCAAGTAGTTTGTTTTTACTCCTGTAACTATAGATTCACTTTATTCATATGATAATATAAGCACTAAAAATAATGTATGATATAATATTACAATTACATTATTATATTAATATTTATAGAATTTTTTATTGTAATTATAGGAATTAGACGATGCCATAAGAGCAGTGGTGTCACGGATGCATCGAGTAGCCGATATTGAAAGTGGTGGCGAATACTCAGATCTGGGAGTAGACTTCCCAGGTAATTTATATTTTATTAATTTTTGATATTATAAAATTATATCATGCATAGATTCAAAATTAACCTAATGAAAATATTTATCTTAATTAATTTATGTATCGTTTGGTTAACATTTCTTTCTTTTTAGTACCCGCAATTCCACGATCTCAAAAAGCTCTAGAATCGGATTCGGAATATGATTCCATATTCGATGAAGGCCAGTTACATCCTAGCCTCAGAGATCAGGAATATCTCCAGCATAGGTAACCAACTTGTAAGATTATCGATAGTAGTAAATAGTTGAGCAATTCTTTAACAGCATTAACATTAGTTTTCCCTTTTGTCTTAAATATATATGCGGACGTATGATATGATTCCATTTTCAAGTCTGATCACAAGAAAATACTGTTATATCTAATATTGATATTGCTTTGCCATAATATCATATTTTACATTGTATAATTTGTTAATAAGCTATATAATGTATATAATATTAACTTTTTTTACTAGTCCTCTATGGGGTCAGCAGTACGTAAGTGGAGGCGCTGGTGAAGGCCAACAAAGGCTCAAACCAGATGGAAGTGCAATGAATCATCAGCAAGTAAAAACGGATAATCTGCCCGCTTATTGTAATCCACCTAATCCCTGTCCTGTTGGATTAACAGGTAAGCTAATAATAAACAATTTTTTATAAGAAAGATTTTTTACAAAAAAGCCATATACGAAATCGTCATTGGGCTCCTCTGGGGTTTACTGGTTAGAGCTTTTCGATGGTTAGATGGCTAGAGCTTTCGATTTTTATTTCAAAAGTTGTTGGTTCTATACCTGCCACGTACAGCTTGATGTCAAACAGAAGTGGTCTTGGTTTTTACTTGAAACTATTGTTTTTAAGTGAAAATAGCTTTTTGGGGCATTGCTGCAACATTCCAATTAGAAAGGCGACCGTTGTTGCCATCTAATACCGTACAGAATAAAAATGAAAATTATCTTTCGAAGAATGGACAGTATTCTAGCTTAGTCATTCTTGAAAATAACTGATAAAATAATAGTTCTAATTGATGCAAACTAATAACAAAAAATTATCAGCAAAATGTACCAGTAACAAATCAACATATATACCGCTCATAACAAAATTTTAGAATGAAATCATAGTACGATAAATGTCACTTTATATATTAAATATCCGGAATTTAATATAAACAATCCCTCCCATATTTCATTTGTTACAATTCATAAATCCGTCAGTTGCAAATTCAAAATTACTTCTCAATATCCAATATTAAACTAGAGGGATTCATTAAAATTTACGCTGTTAGTGAAGGCAAAAGTGAAAAAATGACAGAACAAAAAAGAGAAGTAAAAAAGTTTCAGACAATTCCTATAGATCTTAATACTACTTATAAATATGACTACAAAATATATGGTGAAACTAAACGCCCTAAGATTCGTAGACAAATTGCACAGGAAAGGGATTGTATCGCTGGTTCATTTGAAACTTATTTAAGGTATTTATAAAAAATCTTAATTAGCTAGTCAAGAACCCACTGGTTTTTAATGCATTATTGAAAATGAAACACATACCGACAACAGGTTAAATGAAGAACCTCCAGAAGGTGAAGGCGAAGATAACTTCCTTAATTTTGACAAAAGATGGGATCCACAAAGTGAATATTATAAACTGATAGAAAAACGCATAGCAGAAAAATATCCTAGAATTGGACAACGCTATTTTTCTGATGAACTGGACAAAGATGTTGTCGGTAAACTTACTTTAGATAATGGAAGATCCATGTATCATGTCGACTATTGTAAGAGAGAAGACGGAATTGTGTCTAAAACAACAATTAAGCGTGGTGTTGGAAAATTTGCTATAAAATTACCCGATGATTGGGAAATGCCAGCTACCACAAGTGGAAAAATTTATAGGTTCAAAATTTTTATACAAAATATTAGACCATTATTTTTTATCATCATACAGAAATTAATATTTTCAAAAATCAAAGAAATGCTGCACATGTTCACAGTGAACGCTAGGACTCTGATAATTGGTTGAATTAATTTTTTTATTTTACTTAATTATATAGGTATGATAACCATCTATTTATTCAAACAATATTGAATTATATTTGCAAAGGTCAAGATATAGATATACATAATTCACCTTAATTACAACTAACTACTAAAAAATGGTCAGTAGTTAAAAATAATGGTCCCTTCGAATCAATTTCGTTCAAAATATTAAATAAATTATAGAAAGTACAAAATAGTTAATTTCTCTGAAAATCAATTTTATTTTTTGCTTATATCAACCGTAATTAGTGATATTTTACTAAAGGGATCCAGCAATTATGACCCAAGCCACAGGCGGCGTAAAACTTACCCGCGCAGCAAAGCCGCCCTACTTTAGGCCCCCCGATGATTCTCGAACATTCCACACCGAATATGAAATTATGATTTCGCGAATAGGCCGAACATTGCTCAAAGAAAGGCCAACAAGACCATCTTATCAAGACAGAATCGATGCAGGAACCATGCTTCAAAATGTCGATTTACGAGACCTCGATCTTTCTGTTAAAAAATGGAAGATTTGATGTAATAATAATTATGATTTTTTATTGAAATTTTTGATTTGTGTTTGATTTAAGCATTAATTTATTTTTGTCTGTGAAAACTTAAATAGAAAAGTAAAACAATACTAAAATTAAATAATAATATAAACGGCATACAAAATAAAACACATAACAAAAATAGCAATCGCAAAATAATAATTAAATATATGCAAATTTTTCCATAAATTGCTCTGTTATTTTCCACATTTGCCTTTAATTTAAACTGCTTTTAATCAATCTCTCTAATTCAGTATTGAATCTAAAAACGTAATTTTGATACGCTTCTGTAAAACTCTTAAAGACTGCAACTTATATAAAAACCCTTATATAAATCCCTTACATAACAATATAATGTTTTATATTGTTTTAGAATATTGAAATATAAATATATGAATCAAACAAAGCTTTACTTTAAAAAAATAATTAAAAAATGATATGCATTATAAAACAAAGCAATAAGTTTTCAAAGGATCTATTTTTGAACTAAGCTAACAATAGGATAAAAAAACATTTATTTATAAATCTCTGGGATTACATGATATAAATTTGAATTAGTTCTTTTTTAAAATACCAATATTTGTATATAAAAATCCTTTTTGAATGAACAGAGCAATGCAATGTCATGATTAATACAAAGAAATACATATATCAAAATGTATTAAATGGTTGAACAACTTATATTAAATTCAAATTTGTTTCACAGATTAAATCGAATTAGAACATTGCCTTGATAACTTTAGAGTACCTTTACTCAGAATAGAAAATTTAGTACATTTTTGAATTGAGAAATGAATTCAAATATTACTAATGCATTCTTGAATTCATTTCTGAATTCAAGAAAATACTAAATTTTCTATAATCTGAGTAAGGTACTCTAACGTTATCGAGGTAATGTTCTAACTGGATATAATAAAATTGAAACTATATTATAAACAGATGGTAATAATTGATATATATTAAGACCAATAAAATATATAAAAGATATTACTAAATAACTAAATGCATTTCTGAATTCAAGAATGTTCTAAATTTTCTATAATCTGAGTAAGGTACTCTAACGCCATCGGGGCAATATTCTAATTGGAAATAATAAAATTGAAACTATATTATAAACAGAGTAAATGGTAATAATTGATATAAATTAAGATCAATATAATATATAAAAGATATTACTAAATAACTGAATGCATTTCTGAATTCAAGAATGTTCTAAATTTTCTATAATCTGAGTAAGGTACTCTATCGTTATCGAGACAATGATCTAATTGGAAATAATTGAATTGAAACTATATTATGAACAAAGTATAATAAATCGTGATAATTGATATATATATATATATATATATATATATATATATATATTTATATTAAGAAACAAAAATACTCCCCAATATTTATTAAAAAACAAAAATATACTGGCCAATGTGAAATATTGAGGTTGTGCATGCTCTTCTAAAAAGACTACCATTGATATATCTGATTTATATATCCTAATTTATGTTATATTTAACAGTATAAATTATAAAATTTGAATTATTAATATACACAAATCAACTAAATTATTATGGATATTAGGTATGACAAGGCCACCTATTCATCTCTTATTATTAACAATACTTTTGAATAGTTATTTGTAACACCACTGACGATTTTTGGTCTTTAACCACATAGATACCTGATAAAGCGTGTCTGAATTTTTGTAAAATTCATTTTTTTCAAAAACCAATTTTTTTCTATCCCCAGAAGAGCATGGTTGCACCGAGAACTTCGAGAACACCGCAGCCTTCAGCCGCGACTACCAGGCGGCTCAGCAATGCATGTGCGACGGTGAGCATATGTTCCGTTGTCCGTCCTCATTAGACGGAGACGAACTGGACGACTCATCCGAATCAGACGAACAGGACGAACACCAGGACCTTCTGGACATGGAAGGCGGACTTGATACTCGAACTGCGCCTGAAATCTTCATGGCGCAAAGGGAGTACCGACGATCTGGCTTGAGTGGGAATAAACATCATAAAAGAAAGGTAAGTAGGAGTGAAGAAATATGCGTAAGAGAGCAAGGGGCTTATTGTAACAGGAGTGAGTAGTAATAGATTGGATGGGATCTAAATAGACATTAAATATTTTTTGTCTCGATTAAACGTGTGACATCTAAAGTCCATTGTCATATTTACTGTCTCACAGGCCGACGCAATATACAGAACTGGTCCGTCATTTTTGGCATGTAATATAAAATTCATAAAATTTTAAGTTCCGCAATTATTATCAACCAATTTTAAACTTTATATAACATAATTCGTTCTAAATTTATCATTTTTTCATATTGTATAACAGTTTTTGTGATTGCTAATTTGTTGAAAGAATTTTCTTGATTTATGTCTGGGCTGTTTTTTTATTGACTTTTTTATTAGTCATATATTCTTTTTTTGTCAATAATGTTATAAAATTGGTTGGGAGAGAGATTTTTTGGCTTACTATCTCCCTCTATAGTTCTTGTATACCCTTTTCCCATTTTTGCACTCCTGAATGGCGTGCTTAGCATCCGCCCTAGTCGCTCCACCCAAGCAATTGGGTTAGTTGGAGGAAAACTTTGGGGCTAGCAGTGACCTACAAGAATTATGAACAGATTCAAGTTGTATATTTGTAAGGTTTTTCACATTTACAGGAGACGCTAATTTTTTATTTGGGTTAATTGTAGTTTGCGTTGAATTATAAAAATATATATGACTTAGAAACAAGACATTGTTTTTAAAACAACAAGTCATCAAAAGTATTATTGTCGGTTTTTATCGTTACTTCTTCTTCTGGTAGATGTCATAACTAGCCCCAAACGCAGGGTAAATTGTAACACCGCACTTTTTCTAAAAAATGAATAATTGTAAAATATTGCAGATATGTTGTAAAAATATTTTTACTTGTTTGGGTAGAGAAATAGGTACAGCATCTCTAGATCTTAATTTTGTAGAAATATAATAAGTAGATCTCAAGATATATTAATTAAAAAAGCTGTTACAACACAGCCCATGGCTCTCTTATCAGTAAAGTTGATAGATTTTTTTTAATTTTTTATTTTAAGTTGATAGATGTATTGATAATATTTAACTTGAAGAATTGTGCATTTTTGAGAATGATAAAAATAATGGGTCTGAACCTAAAAACAACTATGTAGAAAAATCAATTAATTACAACTACTCTGTCACGAGAGCTTAATATTTGTTTGCAATATTATAGACCAACTCAAATATCATTAATTTATTAAATAAATCTTTATTTTTATATGGGTATTTATCAATGGGAAAGAATTATAACGTTGAATTTTTGTTTAAATAACAGAAGTATTCATATACTTTCACATCTGATGTCTTCTATGGGAATTAAACGATCTCAAATCTAATTAAAGGGTTCAATTAACAAATGAGTCTTGAACTTCATTTTAAATGATTTGCTATTGAGACAATATATATCTATATGAAAAATGAATGTTGATAAATTTTAAATGTAAAATATAAGCTTATTGATTATTATTTCAGAGTACTAATCCCTACTTGCATGGTGAGAAACTCCCAGTGGCTGCTAAGAAGGGTATCAACGTTGTCTACTGAACCAATTTAAAACGCTCACCACTAATTTAACAAAATATATTTTTATTTTTTTGGATAAACCAACCCAGAAACAAATGCTAATTAATTTTCAGAAAAAAGCATTTGTAAACGACTTTGGCAATTGATAAACGGAATAATGATTTCAAACCGAATAAACAAAAGAAAAATCTACAAAAATAATTTAGTTTTCGTTAGTCATTACATATGTATTACCGGTTAAAACCCTTTATTCGAAGGAGAATTAAGAACTAATAAAACAATGTTTAATATTAAGTAGCCGTGTAACTTACTTTGTGTAATATTAAAGAGGCCCATTATATAATAATTAAATTTAATGTAGTAAACTATTTATAATATATTAATATTATAAATACATCATTAAAACATCAAATTACTAATGAAATCTAATACAATGCTATTGGAATCCGATTGGGGTATGATCAAATTTCTTATTGTCTTTCTCTCTATTATTTATTTGCAAGTTTGTTCGTACCCCAGGACGATTTTCAAATATAGTCTCCATCAATGCGCGCATTTGCGAAATTAAAAAAAGCTCACAAAAATTTAATAAAGTCTCAATTACATCCGAGACAAATTTGAAAAGGAAGAGTTGCATTAACAACAATTCACATTAGAAAAAGAATTGATTGGAAAACTTACACTTGTTTTCGGTGAACGTGTTTCAGACCCCATTGATGCTCTTGTATCCGTGCAATGTTCATTTATAATTTCCATAATTTAATATATTATGAAACCATTGTAATGTATTATATTATCCGATTTTTGTAATAGACATTACACGCAATGAGTGCACGATACGTGTTTAATGAAATAAGTGTATGTTTTAAGATTTGCATTCACTATTTGACATAGATATAAGTAATTATATTTATCAAGCAAATCACTTCGTATCATTTCTATTATGGATATATAATAATGATATACTAATGTGAACAAAACATCTCAAAATATTTTTAAAATATAAATGTATAATTAAATTTAGAATACTTTTCGTGAACTGTAATAATTTACTCACAGTTCATGCTAACGATCATGTGTCTAAATACAATTATGAAGAAGATTATATATTACATACATGTGAAATCTATATAATAATGCATGCTTGTTAAATTTATATTATAATGAATATATAATGAATATTTTAAATATAATATATATGCGCGTTAGTTGTCAAATAAAAGTCTATATTGCTCCCACTATTGGAAATATTGTTTTATTTAATAACAGCCAACTCAGCAAGGTAACATTATCATAAAAATTCAAATTCGTTAAAATTTTTTAGCCTAAATGACTATATATTAAATAGTTTTTGATATCTGAGCATGTACTTTGAAATTACCATGGGTTGATGCAGTCTATAAAACGAATACTAAATTTATTCTGATTCTGCCGCACAACAGACCAATGTTATGGCAAGGCCATGTTACGCTTCAACTTCCATAAATTATGCTACTAAATCATACTGAATACTGTCAAAGTGTCATGTATTTGCTGTGCATTCAGACATTAGACACATAAACTGCAAAGTCACTCGTATGTTCTGAAGGTGAGTCAGAAAGACCCTGTTATCTAAGATCTTTTTTTTTATATTTGTGCGGTTTCTAGGTTAGGTTTTCTATCTGACAACCTAAAAAAATGCCTGAGTGCACAGCAACCACTTGGCTTTTGTCAATATTTAATATGGAAAGTTTTTCATAACATAGACTTGCCATAACATTGGTCTGTTTTGTGGCAGAATCGGACAAGAAATTCACGTATGTGTTATCATAATAACATTCGATTATGATAACAATTTTTATGCGTTTCCTAAGTTAGATTTTATGACTAAAATGCTTGACTGCACAGCAAAACATACCATTTTGACCGGATTTACTACAAATTTAAATTAAGAAAGAAACATAACACTGCGTTGTTATAGTAACGCTATTTTATGGCGATTAAAATAACGCCAAAATCATTTCTATTAGCGAATTAGAAAAACAAACACTTATTTAACTGGCTAAAACTCTAATGCGTTTCAAACCATAAAATTGAAAACAAGAAAATGTGTTTGATTTTTCTGAATTCAAGTGTCATAATGTTCACGACGACGACACTGCAATAAAGAAAATTGGCACGATTCTGCTTTTCTTTACGTAATCGATTACATTCTAACCACTTTGTAATAGTTGGAAAAGACAAGAAATTAAGTTTAAATGTCACAAACCAGATTGTCGAAAACGTATTCTTGGAACCAAACCAAACTCCAATATGCCCAAATGTCATAGTTCAAAAATAGAAATTAATAAACATTTTAGGAAATATCTTTGACATTTTTATTTAACGAAAAATGCTTACATCATTTCATACATGACATTTAAATTTGAACTTAAATGCTCATTTATTAACTAGATCGATATTATCATGCATACTAACATTAAAATAAATATGTACATAAATAATAGTATGATTTAAATATAAACGTATTAGTATGAAATGTTTTGTATATAACACAGATTTGTCAAGAATAGACATAAAATATTTGTAATTATGAATACAAAAATATATTTTTAACATGATTCTTACACATATACTACAATGTACATAATATCAATAGAGGATTCGCGCGGAGAACATTCAGCACTTGCCAAAAGGCGATAATTGCAATATTTCTGATTGCAAGTGTATTTAACAACATTTTTTATTTCATTATTGAATAAAACGATTTTAAGCATTATGTCTAAAAACAACATTTGCTACATCAATGCGTTGCATACCAAAACTATCAACTTCTCAAATTTCTAATTTTAATTAAAGTTTAACATCAAAGCTTTAGCAAGAATATATAAAACCAACTTCTTGCAAAATGGTTTCCAGTTTGATAAAAACTTTTGATTTTTTTTTAAATCAATTAAAGTGATCATCATTTTTTTTAAACAAAACCAATTGGTTTATATATTGGTTTATATGAATATTGGTTTGTACTTTTCTAAACAAGAAATCGAGGCCAAATTAGCAATAACTTTACTTGTCTAATGTACTACACTGTATCTCATTTTAGAAAAAGAAAACTGTGCAATACACATTCTATAATGTTTGTAATCATTCTGATTTTTTTATAAATTAGGCAAGCAATACATCCATGTCTACTTTGATTTGCCTATATGTTATTTATTACACTGATAATAATTTGTACTTAACTACTCTAATTTCTTAATTGTTAATAATTATTTGGTAACATATACTGGGTATTTTAGTCTCAGGACTGATTCATTCACCACGTACAATAGTACTTTACTCATCTTAAACAACAATTTGTTTCTCACTATTTTCATTCTAACATTTTGTGTTTCAACAAACAGGTGAAATAATCAATTTTAATATAAATAAATTATAATATTATACAACTATTTTCTTATAAATAATTTGCGACTTCTGTCGCTTTTTTAAATTTTAAAATACTTTTGCAAAGGTCTAGATATTTAATGATGTAATACTTAAAGCATCCTAACATTAAAAGCGTATCATAAAACTTTACACATATAATTATTCAATAATTTACATCCACTGAATACGTATAGTTATAATTAAGAATATTTTAGTGGAGATTAAATTTCCTACAGGCGTTCGTAAATAATATAATACTAAACATAGAATTATTAAATAAAATGGAATAAACTAAAACAGTAATAAATACACTGTGAAATTTTAATTTCATTTGTCATTTTTATTATGGCATATAAATTTTTAAAGCTTTATCCAATATCTAAAATTTTTAATAAATATACTTAAACTCCGTATTATGTGGTTATATTTGGATATTTTACATAAAATTATTGACACAGTGAACTATGCCTTCTACAATTGGCAAATCAGGTTCAATTTAATAAATATCTATTGCATAATCCTTGCTATAGTTTTAAATAAATATCTCAAAGCTAAATTAACAACTAGTTTAAATAGTATATTTTCATACATTGACTTAACGCATATGGCTCTTTCATACATTGTCAAATTCTGTTGATCTTGCGCCAACTGTCACTTCACTATTTGTGTGTGAACCACAACAATCAAAGGCGGTCTTCATCGGTCACAAGATGTCGCATATGCTTATTGCCGCCGAACTATCGGCGTCAGCGACAGCAACTTTATCACATTCAGTGAGGAAAAATATAACATTAAAGCAACATTTCTCAATTCACTTGTTCTGCGATGCACCTGCACTGCTTGATCCTCTGAACGCGTTTCTTTCTCATCGGAGGCGTTAGCTGCGGGCACCTCAAGGTAACAGTGATCCACGTAAATTTCTTAGGCTTACAGAAAGCACAAGACTTAAACGCCGTTCCTGAATCCACATCCTCGTCCTCAGAGCCGGAGTAATCATCCACAATTTTCCTCCCGCGTCTACCTCGCCTAGGATTCCGCGGTATGTAGAAGGAATTACACTGGCCATAACAAAACCTATTGATCACAGTCCTGGGTTGACAACCTTCCATACGCACTCGCTGAACTAATGGTTCAGTTTTGCACCAATCTTTTTTCAAATACTCCTTCCTGGTGACCAACAAAGCATTCTTACTACTCTTCAACAATTTGTGACCTTTATAAGCGGCGATTTCTTGACGTGCAGCAAACAACTCGTCATCTAGATTTGGATCTTCTAATTCTGGTAGATCGTCTAAGTCATTTCGAACAAGTGGCGGTGATCTGGATTCATTCTGCCTTCGTTCGGCGATTAGTCTCTCTACTGCCTGCGTGTTGATGATGTCCAGAATACTATCTGTTGACGTCAGAAGCGGCCTGTGATGCGAACTCGTTGCAGAATGGGAATATCGCATCGAGCAGCCGAGGAGGAGAAAGACCAGCCGATATACAGGTAACATCTGAAATAATAATAAAGATTAGTTATAAATATCTCACAATTTAGTTTTTACTTATTTTCTGAATAATATCTGAATCCTTCATTCAATAATCATTGTTTGCTATTTGAAATACGTACACACTGTAGATATAATATATAAATAGGGTATCCCAGAACTCAACGGCAAACCAAAATAGGGTGGCAGTATTGATTGTAAATATAATGCAAAACTGGGCAAAATAGATCCTATCCTATTTAGGGCTTTGGTCTAATTGTTTAATCAGGATTCCAAAATGGTACAATATTTTTATATTACTTGATAAAAAACAAATAATACGTTTTTTGCATTATTTTGAACAAAAATTTGTTGTTAAATTTTTGCACATAAATTTGTCTGATCGTCTAAGACAAAATGGGAGCACCATAGACCTTACACTACATGGACTGCTAGTCCTCATATGTTTTCAATTTCATAAAGTGTCAATAGATAGAAGGGAACTGTGACGTCACTTTGTGAACAAGCGTTGCCGACAATCGTAGAACGTAACATATGACATATCACATTTAATGATTCGGGAGTGTTCCACGATTGTACATGGACTGCTAGTCCTCATATGTTTTCAATTTCATAAAGTGTCAATAGATAGAAGGGAACTGTGACGTCACTTTGTGAACAAGCGTTGCCGACAATCGTAGAACGTAACATATGACATATCACATTTAATGATTCGGGAGTGTTCCACGATTGTCGGCAACGCTCGTTCACTAAGTGACGTCACAGTCTCCTTCTATCTTTTGACACTTATTTTGCGCTCGACTAGCAGTCCATGTAGAATAAAGTCTATCAAAGACACCCAACTATATAGGTAGAAAAAACAAAACATCATAAAAAATGTGCAAACAAGTTCAAAATTGAACAATAAGTGTCTTAGTCTAAAGATGCTATGAATTATCGCATTTATCAATCACAATTTTTGAACAATTGATTTTTCAACCCAACTTCTATAAGTCTTGTACATTTTCACCTACTTCCGGGTACAAAATATGATAAACTGCTGGCGAGTCATGAATATATCACAATATGATTTATGACATCTTAGCGTTTTGGCTAAGTTTGCGAGCTGTAAACTTTTGACATTACAATCTGCTGCATGTACTTGAGATTTATGAATTTGGAAAATCTATATATATATATATATATATATATATATATACACCCAATATATAAATGTATTATTTAATTGCTTTAATTTAATCAATATCACAAATTGTATATATAAATATGATAATAGTTTTGTCGATGTTGATACATATTTGAAGTATTTTGCAGCCCAATCGTCGAATTAAAAAAAATTCAAAATCGAAAAAAAAATCTATTAAACGTTTCGACACTTAATGTGGGACAAAAGGACTTAAAAAGGACAAAATTATATACATACCATTTATAAATATAAAAAATTTATAAAAGATTTATTATATAAGTTCAGTGTGTAATAAATTTTATATAATGTTTTTGTATGTTTCCTAGTTTGGTATGTATATAATTTTCTCCTTTTTTATTTTTATATTTAATATTAACTATTGTTATTTATGTAATTTGTTTTTTTAGATTACTGAATGATGACGACAGCCCAACCGTCGAATTAAAAAAAGATTAAATAACAAAATTATTTATTTCATTAAACGTTTCGACACTTGATGTGTGTCATCATTCAGTAATCAAACCAGGAAAAACAACAGAAAACATTAATTATGATGTAAAATTGATTCACACTGAGTGCCCACAATGCAATGCTATCAATAACATCAAATATAGGAGGGCAATATGTGCTCCTCCTATTTCTCGTTTTTAAATATAATAGTATTTTATTATTTTACACAAATTTAGAATCAATCAATTTTACATCATAATTAATGTTTTCTGTTGTTTTTCCTGGTTTGATTACTGAATGATGACACAATCAAGTGTCGTTTAATGGAATATATATATATATATATTTGTATGAATAAAATTGCTATTAGTTATATATCTCTGGTCTATTACCCTAAAATTGTTATCTGCATATAACACATTTTGTTGAATTTATTAAATTTAATAGAACTTATATATTTTTGTTATATTTATTTATTTATAATCGTTTGGATTTGTTACATTCATTCATTTATAATCCTCATATATTCTCACGTTGGCAGTATATTTTTTATTAATATAATACTTAAATATTACTACAAGTTATTATATCTTCAGACTATAGAGAAGTTTTATTTGAAATATAATTATTAGGATTTATACATTTTTGATAATATTATTTATTTAGAATCTTTAATTATAATAAAAAATCCAACAAATTAAGTTGTCGAATCAATTACTCTCGTGATGGCAAAATTATTTTTTTTATTATAAAACTAAAATATTATTACAATTTTTTATATGTTCAAAGACTTTCTGCAAATAATATATTTTAATGAAAGTGAACTTATTTATTTATTCATTCATGATTGTTTATTTAGAATCTTTAATTATAATAAAAAATCCAACAAATTAAGTTGTCGAATCAATTACTCTCGTGATGGCAAAATTATTTTTTTTAATATAGAACTAAAATATTATTACAATTTTTTATATGTTCAAAGACTTTCTGCAAATAATATATTTTAATGAAATGAACTTATTTATTTATTCATTCATGATTGTTTACTTATATTCGTTATTCAAAAATGCAATAAATCAAACGATTTGAAATTGCCACCATACGAATGAATTACTTTCATGTTGGCAACCATTAATTTTATTAACGTTTGGCCTTATGGCGACATTCAGGCATTTCGGCCCTCTCGCGGATAAATTTTACATAACTTTTTTGACAGCTAGCGGATGGAATTTTATTTTAATAGTGATATTTGGTGATAGTGAACAAAAAATAACAATACTTTTAAATAAAATTTATATTTGTTATTATAAATGTAGTAAATAGTTCAAACTATTTACTATAATCAGTAGTTTTTAAAATGTGAGTGTTGTATAATGGAATCTTAGGGATCATGAATGATTACAGGTAAGTTTTATTCTGGCACGTTGCCTTATATATATATATATATATATATAATATATATATATATATACTTTTTCTTACTTATTAATTTTCAGCCAATCGTCGAAATAAAATAAACACTAAATAATGAACTATTTATTTATACGTTTCGACACGGTTGTGTGTCATCATTCAGCAATTTTTTTGAATTTTTTACAATATCTAAAAGACAAAGTTCAAAAAAGATTGAATTTAAAATGTATTATAAATTAAAAATTTGTAACAATAGTAAAATGATATAATTAATCAAAAATGTAAATTCTGTGAAATGGATGGTAAACCCACGAAAGCGCCTGAATCGATTATTTTTCATATGATCTTAGGAACACCTTGTTGCAGTTATTCCGGAGTAAATTTTGACAAAAATAAGATCTACATATGTTTAGCATGCTTATTTTTATGAATTTGTATATATGAATGTTTTACTGTTGTTTCAATATAATGTAGATGTTTCCCAAACTTTTCGATGCTTTTACAGTTGATCTCAATATGTACGGATTTCTCAAAAATCTCCTAAAAAACGTGTAATTTTCAATTATTTTATGCTCGTTTTAAAAGAAAAACGAAAAGTTTTAAATATGAATATAAAATTTTGGTATACGGGATGTCTCTTTCGCCAGAAAAATCAAAATACTTAATTTTAAGCAAAAGCTCACTAATAATTATTAGATTGTGCAACAAAAATTATAATTCATAATATTGTGTTATAGGTGTAAATGCATCAACATAAATTAAGAGATCATATAATCTTCATTGGTATCGTTTTTTTCTCTTTTTATAAAAAAAATTGTACTAAGGTAAAATCTTACTCAAGATATTTCCAGTGGTACTCTTAGCTCGCTTTATAAAAAATTGTAAAAAAAAATATTTGGTAACTTTCTATTCTGTCTTTTTATTAACTCGAAAATCCTATAAGGGTTGTGATATTTCTTAAATAAGTAGCTTTTTGGGAAAGCAACCCAATAGTTGGCCTATGTATATAAGATATATTCTTATTATTAGTATTTCCATAATAGTGATATAATATGTTTAATTTGATCTAGCAATGCCGGGGAAGTACTATTTTGATTTGGATATATATTACAATTTTGCAACATTTTTTTTCTGTTCGAGATAATTCGATTTTTTTTTTTTTTTGAAAATGTTTGAAAACTCTGCATCGTCGAAAAGCATTTTTCCTAATACAAATTTCCATATTTCACTTTATCAACATTCTTGGTTTCCCATAAATAAAATATAGTTTTTTAAAAAAATATTTTGATTTGGATATATATTTATATCTTTCATTTGATCAACATTTTTATTTAGTCTCAGATAATTAATTTTTTTTTGAGAATGTACAAAAACGCTGCATCGTCGTACCAACATTCATACTAATACATATTTCCACCTTTCATTTGATCAAAATTATAAGATCTGAATGGTTCAAAAAACATTCGATTCGTATTGATAGGGTTCGTAGTGCTGGTTAGTTTTTGGCAAAGGTCGATCCTACCGTTTTGGAGTTACGGAGCAAAGAGTGCAAAAAATAGAAATCGAGATTTTGAGAGAATGGAGTATCCGATTTGAATAATCCACAAAATATTCAATACGCAATGATGGGAAGATGTGGTGATTAGTATTGGGCAAAGACAGGCCTAGCTAAATGTGCAAAAAATTGCAGTTTTTGAGATAAATTAGTAATCGTCTTGAATGATTAAAAAAAATACAGTTTGTGTTGACGAAAAAAAATCTTTTCAATTTATTTTTTAATTTTCAAAAAAAAATTTTTGAGTATCGAAAATAAGTTAGGTTTTCAAAGTTTTAATTTGGTACGGAAAGTTCCAGCAATTTGCCTCAAGGCACAATGCCATACACCACTAGTTCCATCTTTCACTTGATCAATATTATTGGTTTTCCTGAGTTAAATAAAATATTTTTTCTTAAATGT